CAGGCAGAGCTGAGGGCGGGAACCCTAACATATTCAGGGAGTGGGTGAATCGCTCCGCAGTTCTAGTCTGGATGAATAGGTACAACCCAAACCTAGAAGGATGTGGACGTGGTAGGCTTGAGGAGGGAACATGGGAGGTGTGAGTGATTAGGAGTCTCGGCTAAGCAGGGATGATGGGAGGAATCCAAGGGGCTGGCAGAAGGTCAAAGTACAGATAAGAAAGAGAGACCAAGAAGCTGCAGTGAGCAGTGGAAAACGGGTTTTAAGTGAAGAAATGAAATGCTCAGGTTTTCTTTTAAAAGGATCCCCCAGGTTCGAGCCCCGCATGGGGCTCCCTGCTCGGCGGGAGGCTCGCTTCTCCCTCTCCCACTCCCCCTGCTTGTGTTCCCTCTCTCGCTGTGTGTGTCTCTCTCTGTCAAATAAATAAATAAAATCTAAAAAAAATAAAATAAAAGGATCCCCCAGGACGCCTGGGTGGCTCAGTTGGTTGGGCGTCTGCCTCTCGGTTTCAGCTTGGGCTGTGGTCTCATGGGTGGTGGGATTGCCCCACCTCGGCTCCAAGCTCGGCAGGAAGTCTGCTTGGAGATTCTCTCCTTCTGCCCCTCCCTGCACTCACTCGTGCTCTCTCCCTCTTTCTAAGATAAATGAATAAATCTCTTTTAAAAAATAATAATAAATAAAAGGATCCCCCCCCCCCAGCTGCTGCATGGAGAAAAAGGTGCAGGGGCTCAGGGACAGGTGCAAGGAGTCCACTTAGAAGGACACTTTGGGTAGATGATGATAGTAGCTGGGACCAGGGGGTGGCACAAAGTGGGGGGGATTCCAGGACCAATAGGACTGGGTGATGGATGGGATGCAGGGTGGAACAGAGAGAGCAGTTGGCATGTATGCGGCACCAGTGATGTGCCAAGTACATGTGGAGGGCTTACCCTTTAAAGACGAGATAGACACAGGGTGCCTGGCTGGCTCGGCTGGGAGGAGCCTTTGACTCTTGATCTCAGGGCCGTGAGTTCGAGCCCCCCATTGGATAAACAGATTACTTAAATAAATAAATAAATATATTTTTTTAAAGGTAAGACAGGAAACTGATAGTCGCCTGCTATGTTCTTGGCACTTGGAAGTGAGAAGATGTGCTATAGGGAGGGTACCCCTAACTGCAGGGTTGGAAGGGGTGGTATGAGGAGGGCTTCTAGGTGGAGGTGTCTCTGGAGCTGGCACTAACAGGGGGAGGAAAGAGGAAGGGCCATCCAGGATGAGCAGGAGCAAAAGCTCCCAGGCAAGCCTGGGGAGCCTGCTGTGACCAGAGGGCAGCAAGAAGTCAGCGCGGCCATTCAGCTGACGCACAGGAAGACAGAAGTAAAACTGCTGAGGAAAGCGGGAGCCATAAGAGAAAGGAGAGCAAGGGTGTGATGCTGGGTGCCAGTATGGAGCGGTGGGAGGCTGAGGGAGGGGGTCCCACACAGGCCTGTGTTTCCAGTGACCGTTGCCAAGTTGAGTTCGCAGGGCTGGGCTCTCTGCCTGCAAGGAAGGCTGTGGGAGAGGGAGCCAGGTCAGGGCAGAAAAGGGGGCTGCCAGGCACTGAGAGACAGTGGCCTTGTCTCAGAGCCCCCACCTGCTCACTGAGGCTTTCCTGTAGCTGGGCTCAGGGGCTGGCACAGGTGTGTGCCAGGCCGCTGCAGAGGGATGAGAAAGCAGACAGCCGAGGTTGGCCTGAGTAGCCACAAGTCAGAGTGGCTGGTGGAGCAGAAAGCTGGGGGTGGCCGGAAAGGGGCTTGTCCACCAAGGCCCCCACAGCCAGGTGGCATTGCGGGGACAATGCCCATGAGCCAAGTGCCCATCCTCAGGGGTCTCAGGGCAGTTTCCCATTTTATCCATGCATGCAAAGGGCAGGGACGTGCTCACGGCCCCCTCGGACCCCAGAGATCTTGGCCAGAGGTTCAAGCTGATGAGACGGTGTTGGGGAGGGGGCAGGACAGCAGGGAGAGTGAGACTGGGTGCAGGGAGGCGTGGGGGGCAGACTGTGGCCCTCTGGGCAGAGGTAGCTGTGAGGCTCAGAACTGCCACTTTTGGGGGCGGGCACAGAGGTGCTGTTGCCTGTGGAAGCTGGAGCCCACGCACAGGCGTGTGTATTTTCCAGGCAAGATGTCTGTGCACGGTGAGCAGAGAGCTTATGAAACAATAGTGCCAGATGCTGTCAGTGTTCCTTCCATGCCACCCCCTGGACCTTCAGGGCACGTCAGCCAACTTCCATCCCAGCACCTGCCCACATCTTTGCCCAGGGCCTTTCTCCACCCACCAAAATCCTCATCATCCACCCACACAGCAGGAAGCATGGGGAATTAACACCCCTGGGAGTAGCCCATCCAGTGACTGATGGGAATGGGGGTGCCTCCCTCACCCCCGCTGGTGGGACAGCTCTGAGGTTCCTGAACTTCGTGGTATCCCAGAGCTCCCAGTGGGACTGTGCCCCAGTTGCCCACAATGAGCGACTTGCACTTGAATCCTTGTCTCAGTGTCTGCTTCTGGGAGAGCTCAAAGTAAGACAAGAACCTCAGCAGGACACAGTAGGAAAATCTTGGGGCAGAAAGGCTGAGTGTGGATCCCAGGTCTTTGTGTGTAAGGAAGTCCCAGCCTGTAGCAAGCTTCTGCACAGGTTGCTTGAGCATAAAGTAGAATAGTGTTTATAAAACGGTCCAGGGCATACTAATAATATGCCGTGTCGCCCACCAATCTGAGTAAAAACCACGCTGATAACGATGCTGTTTGGCTGGCTACAGGCTTACAGCTGAAAGCATAGTCCACTGATTTGTCATCCTGGGCTAAATATAAAGGAACTGTGGCCTGAGTCCGAGTTATTTTCAGCACCGTGTCTTACTTTGCAGCCATTGAGGGATGCTATTCAGAGGGCCACCTTCCTGGAGGCTGAAGTCAACCCTGGTGGCCCCCACATTCCAAGACAACTGTCTAACTCCTCTTCCAGGGAAGTTGCCTCCTCAGCGTGTGATGACTGATGCCCCAGGCTCCCCCAAACCCACCAGGTCTTGGCTTCTGTTTCTGGCTACTCTCCAGAGCTGGGAACTGGGTCTCTTCCCGGGGTGGAGTTGTCCTCTCTCAAAAGCCACCGAAGAGGGAGAGGGGAAGTAAAGAGACGCCAGTGTTTATTAAGAGCCTGCGAAGTCCTGCACTCTGAAATGCATGAATCTTCACAACATCCCTTCCGGGAAATTTTGGATTTCGCAGAAAGTGTGAGACTTGGATGGCTCAATAACTTGCTCAGGGCTGCGTGACCGCAGTTTCAAAGGCCTGTGCCTCGTGACGCTGGGTGACTCCTTCTGCCACCGCCACCGTGTGTCTTGGCACTGAGATTTCTCTATATGGTGGGAGGTGGGGGATGGGCAAGTGCTCCCAGGTCAAAGGGGGGGCCTGGTGCCTCTGCCCCCTCAGGAGGGGGACCCTGCTCTCATTTCTTTGGGGGCAAAGGGAGGAGAGAGCAGGGCCCATGATTTGTCAAGGACCCCTGCCCCTGGCCCGCTCAGTCTCACGGGCACCGGCAACTTTTTCCTGGGATGGGATGCTCCCGCCACCTCCCCCCCCCCCCACTCCCCCCCCCCCCCCCCCAGCTGCTGCTGAGGATGTGAGAACGAACAAGAGTGGCTTTTGCTTTCTGGGTCATGCCCTTGCATTTTGTCAGCTGCCTTTTGAGGACATGACCCCCCAGGTCGGTGGTGGGGATGCCAGGGGAGAAGTGTGTGAGGAGGAGGGTCTTTCTGACACAGCTCAGGTCCTAGTGCACGCACCCCCTCCTGCCTGGCACTCTGCTCCCTCAAAGCCAGCCCCAGAAGCCCCCCCGCCCCCCGACCACTTCCACTGGGACGGCCCCGCTGACCTTCGCTCCAACAGCCATGGGCATTGTGGTTATTGAGACTTAATTCTAGGCTCTGTCTCTCGCCTGCTTGAAAATATCCATGGCTCCCAACTTCCCACAAATAAATGTGGAAACTCCCAGCATTTCAGGCCCTTCACCATCTGTCCCAATGATGTTTTCTCGGCGTATGGCACAGGACATTCCCAGAACCCCAACTTGTACTCCTCTTGCCTACCTGTCCCCCCCACTCCTAACACTCTCTGTCCCTCCTCATCCTGCTAGGCTCCTGTCCATCCTCGGAGAACCCTGGAAACCCCCCGCCCCACATGCTGAGCACTACCATCACCCTGTCTTCATTCCCTTGATAGTTCATGCACATAGCTACTCAGGGAATGGGGCCATGTTTGCTGTGAGCCCAGCACAGTGCCTGACGTGGGGCAAGCCTTGGTCAACATTTGATTCAAAGGCGCTTACCCTTTTTGTGCTACAGACTTCCTTGGGCATCTAGCAAAGCTTATGGGAGCCCTTCTCGGAGTTACGCTTTCAAATGCATAAACTAAAACACAAAGGGTTGCAAATAAAACCAATTTCGCTGAAAACATCAAAATATTTGTGAACGAAATCTGTGACTTAGTAAGTAATGTGCTTCTAGGTTAAGGCATTAAATAAGAGGATCTAGTGGTGTGTTCTCATGTCTGTCATTTCCAAATGGTGAGCAGCATTGACAGTATTTTCCAAGCATCTGCAACAACTGAATGTGACAGGAAAATATCTGGCAGGAACTGCTCATATCAGGTTGAATCGTAGGAAACTGCCAATCTTGCACCAGTTTTGAGCTACAAGAACCGTGATTGCATATGGCTTTGTCTCCTTCTACTCGGGTTTGTTGCTGACGCTCGTCTTGGGGGAAACGCACAGTATCAGGTAGATGTGAGTAAAATGGAAGACGACGATTTTTCCTCATCCAAGTTCATGGACCCCTCGAATTATATCAGGGACCCCTTGGGGAGAGACAACCTTGAGAGCACGGAGTTGACGACTGGGCCCCTAGTTGAGGTCTTTGCGCCCAGGGGCTGCCCGGGCCTCCCTCTCCCCGAGCGTCCGTCTAACAGGCGTGGCTCTCTGCCCCCCGCAGGCTCCCTGTTCCCGCAGCTGAAGCCGTCAGAGGGCGTCTTCAAGGTCATCTTCTGGCTGGGCTACTTCAACAGCTGCGTGAACCCGCTCATCTACCCGTGCTCCAGCCGCGAGTTCAAGCGTGCCTTCCTCCGCCTGCTGCGCTGCCAGTGCCGGCGTCGCCGGCGCCGCCGTCCCCTCTGGCGCGTCTACGGCCACCACTGGCGGGGCTCGACCGGCGGCCCGCGCCCCGACTTCGCTCCCGGCCGCGACGCCGCGCCTCCTGGGGCCCCGCTGGCCCTCACCGCGCCCTCGGCCCCCGGCTCCCCCGGCACGCCCGAGGCGCAGGCTCCTGTGGCCGGGCGTCGAAAGCCGCCCTGCGCCTTCCGCGAGTGGAGGCTGCTCGGGCCGTTCCGGAGACCCACCACCCAGCTGCGCGCCAAGGTCTCCAGCCTGTCGCACAAGATCCGCGCCGGGAGCGCGCAGCGCGCAGAGGCCGCCGCCACCCTGCGGGCGGAGGTGGAGGCCGTGTCCCTGGGAGTCCCCCACGACGTGGCCGAGGGCGCCACCTGCCAGGCCTACGAACTGGCCGACTACAGCAACCTCCGGGAGACTGATATTTAGGGACCCCGAGCGAGGCCGGGGAGTGTGCTGGGGAAGGAGGACAGGGGCTGCGGGTGGGGGAAGCGGGGAGGGCGGTGAGGGAGGCTTGGCTTTGTTCAGGAGGCCGGGGCCGGATCAGGGACCCGGACACGGATCAGGGCGGCTGCCCTGTGGCCTCCCTGAGGAACTGAGGCGGGGGTAGGGCCCTGGAAAGGTGAAAAGTTGTGGCCCCCTCCTGGACACAGGTGCCTGGAGCTCCTCCTTTCGGAGGAAGGGGCTGCGGGTTCCGGGGGGGCCATTTGCTCCCAATCCCTGTTTGAGAAATACTGCCCCATCCATGCCCTGAACCCTGGACAGACAGCCTCAAGTGTGGCGAGGCAGGCCCGCCCCTCCTCTTGGGGAGGAAGGGTCGCAGAGGCCCTGCCTGGCTGTCCCCAGTGCCTCCCCTAGGGAAAAAGTCAGTGGAACCAGGGCTTCTCCATGGACACAATTTCTCCTTACTGCCGACTGGAGGAACCCAGTGGACCTGCCGCCACCACCAATAAGCTTTGGTGACAGATTGGATGACCATCCTACAAGCCTGTTGTATTTACCCATGGACTCACTCCCCCCTACAGAGGCTCCTCCATGCATACCACATCACCTGGCCCTGCCCCTCATTATGTCCCAAGGGCCTTACTGTTTACACTCTGTACATAGTGCCTGTGCCCATCACTTCTTGCCGGGATCTGGAGCCATCAAATGGGGAGAGCTTTATTTGTCATTTTGAGACATATTTATTGGTAAGAGTACTTCTATTTTGTCCAAACTGTGCAAACGGTCCCTCTTTAGCTTGTAACCCATAAAGAACTACCTTTTTTTTTTTTTTTCTAAACTCCTTCAAGTTCTAAAGCCCCACAAGAGGATAGATTGGGTCTGCGTTCACCTTTCGAGTTTCAACTTATCTCTTTAACTGATGGCTGCTAACCTCTGGGACTTTGAGCATGACCAAAGGACTCGGGTTTTGTTGGCTTTTAAAATTTACATGATTAGTCTTGGGAACCAAACAGTAATCATAAGCATAAATTTTCGCTTTGTCAGTCTTCCTAGATGAATCTGTGATGCCCTGAGGGCCTCCGTGAGGAAAGTGGCCATCAGTTAAAAGGGTGAAACATTACATGAAAAAATATACAAGCCCAAGTAGACGAGTGTACATGGTGAGTGAGAGAACACCTGCCTAGGAACCATGCTTGTTAGCTTTGAGTGAAATGTCCAACGCTTGTCCCATTCGCAAGAGATTGCAGGTAGTTCAGTCTTCAGCTGGATAATATCAACCACACACATACAACCAGAGTGGGGGTGGTGACTGTGGTCCAGTGGAAAGCTGGTTAGGCGATACCCCAGGGTGTCTGGAGTGGGAATGTTCTAAAACTGGAAGAGTCAGTTGCTGGGGCCAACATGGATCAGTAGTTTGAACCAGAAGTTTCCATCCTGTACTGAGGAAGTCATCTGTTTGAAAGGTCACCCCAATTTTAGACCTCTCACCCCAATTTTATAAGGTAAAACGATAGCCAAGAGCAGACATTTCATACTGTGGGTCTGCAGCAGATTCTAGACTTTCAGGCCTGGCATCCCCCCCAGGCACAGGAAGGGCAGTTTAAGGCGGGTGCTGGGAACATAATGCACACCCCAGAGAGGGTCCCCTTTACAGCACACTGGCCACCCTAAAGCTGGGGACAGTCCTTGTTATCTTCTCACAGAGGTGGGGGCCATCCCTCAAATCAGGGGTCAGCGAAGGGGCTGACCCGCTTGTCGGAGAATTGAACATTGGGCTCCTGGGCAGGGGTTCCAATAGCAGGGGAGGGTCTCTGATCAGGCGAACGTGGGCTCCCACGTGCCAGGACAGTTGAGCCCAAAGGAGGTCAACAGTGCGGACGAGGGAGCAGGTTGGGGACGGAACCTTCATACGAGGGATTTTAGGGGCCCTCCCTGCCCTGGATAACCCAGTAGGTGGGCAGGCAGGTAGGGCTGGCAGCTTGCCCAGTACTTTGTCTAGGCACAATGGTTAATTAATCTGCAAAATGTATCTGTTGTTCAAGCCTCAGCCCCCATCTCCCGGGCACAGGGCCCTCTGCACACAGCTGTCTCCTCCGGTACCGCCGTACCAAGCCTTCAGGAGATCAGGGAGAGCTACAGAGACCCCAGAGAGGCTGTGCCACAGGGACCCTCCAGGGACCCAGTTCTAATCATCAATAAAGCACTGAGTTGCTGACCTGGTGTCAGGACATGCCAAAGTGTCGTAGAGTGGCCCAGAGGAGTGGAGGGACTAGCAAGAGCCCTTCTAGAGGAGGGAGCCTCTTGCAAGTGATTTTGGGACATCTGGAAGAAGTGCGTTCGCTGCACCATTTCCTGAGTCCTCAGGCACCCCAGTCCACACATCTGATTAGAGATGCTGTCTCTGAGGTACATACAGAAAATGAGGCCCTTATCTCCAGGAAGGCCTATGAAATGGCAGGGTGACCGGGAGAGTGGGAAGACTCTCTCAGTACGCATCAAAATGGGAGTAAGTGTTCCTCTACACCATCTTCAAGGAATGGGGTGAGGCCTTGAGGGAGTTTGTGAGTGGGAAGGGGATGGCCCTGTGAGATGGGACAGGGGCAGAACGAGCCTCCAAGAACACTGGCATGTGCCTAAGCCCTTTGCTCCTCACCACTGTAGAAAGCTTCCTTCCTGCTGCCCCCTCCAGGCCCCAGTCCAGTCTGCCCGCCCTCCTCTTGAGCTGGGCTCTTGCCACCCATCTTGCCTTGCTTCCCACACTCTTTCAGGGACCTCTGTCCCCAGCCCCCAGAACTGCTTTTGCAAGTCACCTGGGACGTCCCAGTTCCTCAATCTCCTCTGTCTCTGCCACGGTCCACACTGGTGGCTGCAATGTTCTTCTCCCTGCCCGAGCCACGCCCCTGGGATCTCTTCTGGTCCCCTGACTACTCTCTCTCTCTCTCTCTCTCTCTCTCTCTGCCTCCTGCGCAGGCGCCTCTCTCTGCCCTTATATGTCCCCCAAGGTTTTCCTCTCCCTTTTCTCAACTCTCCACGCAATCTCATCCACTCCAAATCATCTCAATGACCACTTGTACATAAATGGCTCCCAAGGGTTTGTCTGTAACTCCAGATGTGTGCTCCCCCTCCCCTTTGGTGGTTCCCAAGCACCCCAAATACAAGCCCACTCGTCTCCCGCAAGGCCGTCTCCTCGACTCCATGTGGGCATGACAAGGCCACTGGTGCTGAGGCCGTAAGCTCCCGGAAGCCCTGAGACTGCCCACCTTCTCCCCTCCTTCATCTTCCCAAGGTCTTCCTAGATCCCCTGCTCAAAACTAAGCCCCAAGTGTCCCTCAGCCTCACTGGTAGCTCATACCAAGATCATCCTGGCCTAGAGCCCAATGATAGAGTCCATACCTACGTATGGGGAGAGGGCTCCCTGTCCCCAGAGCTGCTCAGGGCTGGGTGTTCACTAAATCCTGGATTGATGGAGTTGGCCCACTGACCCTTCCCTGGGACACTGCCCCCCTGCCCACCTAATGCTCAACATCACTGTCTTTGCAAGACCCTCACCCCCACTGGTTCCACCAGCCCTCACAAGGGTGGAGCCTGTGTCCTCCCCCAGCCAGAGAGCAAGCTGTGCCTGGGAATTCTACCGAACACCTGCTTTTTGGGTCTTCCAGCCCACCCAACCCTCCACCTGGAGCCCCACTCCAAGTCCTTAGTCCCTCCTGCTCCAGGCGCTGACAGGTCCTGGCAGAAGGTTTGGGACCTCGGTCACCCTCCTTTCAGTGACCTGTCAGAGCCCCGACTCCTCAGTGCCCTCCTGACCCTGTTTCTATTTCCATCCTGTTACACCCCCAGGGAGCTACATGTTCACCGGCCACTTGGAAAGAATTTCCTTCTTTTTTTTTTTCCCCCTACTTCTTGTGGCTCCAGCGAAGCACAAAACCAGATGCTTGTCAAGGCTAAACAGGTCCACAGTCTCTGCTCAGAATAGCTCTCTGGGGAGCCCTGCGGACCCAGGTGGTGCTGGAGGCGGGGCCTTCGGGCAGGGGGGCTGCCCTGGACTCTCCCGCCATTTGGAGCTGGCTTTCTTCCCTTCCCCCAGCCACACCCTGGCAGGAGCAAGGAAACAAAAGGCATGCTGAACAGGACCCCAGCCCACATTCTCAAACTGCTCTGGTCTGGGGAAGAACTAAGCAGGAATGGCAGGATGCATTTAGAATCAAGAAGAAATCCAGGAGCTGGGGCCACGACAGCCTGAGCTCCCGAGGGATGGAGGGAGGGATGCATCGGAGGCAGTTAGTTGCCCGGCCCTCCCCTGTGACGTCTGTGGACCGGCCCTCCAGGGCCTCGCCATTCACTCAGCTCCACCATACCGTGTGTCTACCTCTTTCCGTCCTGCCAAATCCGAAGAAGGGGTCCCCATTCCCACTCCTATGGGTGACCCAGGTTGGTCTCACTGATCTCTGAGCCAAGCCACATGGGTCACTGGTCAGCCTCTGGACTGGCTAATTTGGTGCCTGATCAGCTGGGCAGGCAGATGGAGGTGGGTCAGATCACATGGTACAAAACACAGCTGTCCGGGGACCAGTGTCCACAGTTGGAGCGATGCTCCCAGATTGGGCAGAGGCAGACAGCCATGGACATCTCCAGCATGCTGGAACTGCAAGTAATAAGGACGCTGCTGGACAGCTGCTTAAATGCGGGGCAGTATTTTTCTCACTTGACAAGTTACAAGGTGGGAGGTTGCTAGCATTGTCCTTTGCAGGTCTTTGCATTCTAATCTCTGGTATGTTGACTTGTATCCTCTTTGTTGCCTAATCATGATCGATGTTTCCATAATCCACATTCTTATTCAAAACGGGGGGGGGGGGGGGGTGGGGAGGAGAAAGGTCTGCTTTTATCCCATGACCTGCAAGGGAGACTGCTAACCTCAAACGCTGGGTGCTTGGGGGCCGAGGTCTGTGGTCAGCCCACCACTTGATTTTGTACAACCCACAAACTAAGAATGAGTTTTACATTTTTAAATGGTTGGGGCAGGATGGGGGGGAGGAAGTCAAAAGATTGTGTCACAATGGGAAAATTATACGGAGGTTTCCTCTTGGCTCACAAAGCCTAAATGTTACTATCTTGCCCTTTACAGGAAAAGTTTGTCAGCCCTTGCTTTAGGGCAACGAGGATCACTGCCTCTCATTGGGCACACTGCTATCCTGAACAAAATCGGGATCTGGCAGTAGGAAGAAGGAAGGAATGGCTATGGAGCAGGCAGCTCTCAGTGCCTACTACCTATGCCAGGCAACACATTTCAAGCCTGCATCCAGTTAGCTAATCTGCAATGGCAGAAACAAAGAGTCCCCCTTCTAACTAGGAACCTGATGCAAAGGGCTTTTTCTGGAAGCCCTCAGCCCTGAGGACATCTTCCCAGACTGACCAAATGTATAGGATTTTGAAAGAGAATCCAGGAAATATTGGCACTGGCCGTGTCTCAAAAGGCTTGAGGAGGTATTATTTGCTCCGTGAACTCGCCCCCAGCCAAGGTGCGGTCCTTGATATTACAAGTCTAGAAAATGGGTCTGGTCAGGATTCCACAGTTACCAGTCTCATATAAGCTGACACAGACAGCCTAACTCACTAGGACGTGAAGTGCATAAGCCCAAGACCAATGTACTAATTTTTAATGGGAAGTAGAGCCTAACTATATACACAAGCCAATATCTTCATGATGACAAACAAACTTGATGGGAAGCCAAACCGTGGTCTGAAAGTCCCTTAGTGAGTTCAGAGGCTGAGCAGAGACGTTAATAGGAAGAGTTGTTGATTGAGTGCACCAGGCATAGGGCTCCATCCCGTCCACATCTTCACCTCCTTGCACATCCTGCCTCTGTTCCCATGATACGTCCACCC